GGCCTGTAATTCAGGCAAATGCCACTGAACCCCTGTGGCTCAGAGCACTTGGCTCTGTGGAACAGAGGTGCAGCAGGTCAGTTTTAACATTCTCAACACCGCCATCATATCTCTCCTGAGACAAACACTGAAGCGCATCAAATATCCCGATCCCGGCTTGAAAGACTCTTCTGATGGGGGCCTTTAATTTTTAATCAAATGAGAACAAAGGGTAAATGCTGTGCAACGCTCGTCATACCAAGGTGAATTGTTATTTAAATGCGTTTCCTCTTTACACAGATCACTGCTGTTGTAAATTATTAGCTTAGTTTCAGAAACATTTGTTTATGTATTTGCCAGACACTTATATCCAAAGCAAAACAGAAATGAAAAAAAAATGCATAGACCTATTTAGCCAAACCCAACATGGTTATTTTACATTGAATGTAGGGGTGTAAATGTCATGTTACTCATTTAACATAGAGCAGAAATAGAAAAAGATGTTTCCTTACTGAAACACAGAGTTCCTATATAAAACCTGTGTAAGTCATCCTGAGGCAGCTGATGGAAATGAATAACGTGTTTTAAAAAGACAGGCATCAAGTAACTTTTAAACTAAAAAGTTATTTTAGAAGTAGAGAATAGGTTTATTACTTGACAGATCAAAACATCTGACGAGGCTGAATAAACCTGCTATTGTTACGCCTCACTACGCAACATTTTTTTTCATAATAAGCCATTGAATAACTTTCAATACATAAAATAGACACGCATATAATCCAACCCATGTCATTATGTACTGGTAGAAAACACCATAATTAGATATTGTAAATAAAAAAGATGTCTGACCTCATCAAGCCCTTCTTCTTCATGGAAAGTCCTCGACAGGAAGAGACACGTCAATGTGTTATCCTTTTTTGTGAACAAAATGAAGTCTTTCCCAATTCGCATTGAGCCCCTGGAACGACAAAGTTAAAATACCATGTGAGATATTTTTACACCAACTGCGTACAATAAATATCAGATTGAAAGCACTCACGATTTCAATCCATTTCCATACTGGCCGATCTGAGTGGACTCTGGGGAGCGCTTGTTTGACTTTCCAAACTGAATCACGTGGGTTGCCTCAACTATCAAAAAGGAGATGTTTCGAAAACACAATAAGAAGACCACATCACTAAAAACCTCATTATGAGCCTACTTTAAGTCTTGCTTACTTGGGTCCATTCCAATGCCATCATCTAGAAAAAATAGCATAAAACCCCCACGAAGCTCTGGTCGTTTTTCTGGAGTAGAAACGCAGACAACAATTATAAAATGCAATCTTGGTGAACAACTCAATGTGTAAAACTGGTAAAGTACTTATAACCGTACCGGTGTAGATGTCTATTCTAGTTGCATTGGCGTCCCTGTATTAAAAAAAGAAAAGAATGCAGAACTGTTAGAAAAAAATCTGTTTAATAAACATTATCTTGATGAAATGAGTTACCAATCAGACGTATTACCTTGAATTGTCCACAAGCTCAGCCAAGGCTCCAAATAAAAACTCATGGGTTGTCCTAAGAACATACAATTAAGATTTTTAGACCAAAGGCAAGTACTAGGGCACATTCTCCTAATATACATAATCTGGAACTTCTTGTTCCACATTTACAGTATAAATTTATTCTGTCTGCAATGTTCTGTAAATATCATGTGAGCATAACTAACATGCTTCCCAGCAACATCGTAGATTGTGCCGGCCAAGTACGATGATAGCAACATAATAATGTAAATCTTCTTTTGTTCCGTTTTTCTAGAGGCGTTTGCTTCTCTCCAAATATGAATTTTTCTCACACAAACAAACTTATATTACCTAAGCTTTAGGTGTATACATATACTTGTGCACCTCCAATTAAACTTGCTTCACAATCCTCTCAACACTGCCTGTATCCCTATTGCTGGAGGCCGTTTTCTTTCCACTTAACTTCCCAATACATTTGCTTGGCAGAAGGATGCTATGAACAGTTTTTTTTTATTTTGTGTTGTGGTTTAACCTCCCTGTGAAGGGTCTTCATGTTAGCGGTTCTCTATATGATTGTGCAAGTCTTTACATTCATGTTCGTTCACTAATGAAGTTGAACAACTTAACTTTCAACAATATTCTAACTTATTGAGATGAACCTGTTTGCAAACTAAATCAACACATGAGTTATATGGGAGGTAAGACTTGCTGGCAGAGCTTGAATTGTATGTAAGGTGTGTCCAGTGAATGGGTGTGTAACAGTCTGCACATTAACACAGCCCACAAACTGTAGCAATAATAACCTCCCAGTAGCTGATTCAGATGTCACACAGGACTCAATGTTTCTTTAAAGGTACTGTAAAAGATTGTGATACCACTTTTCCATAATCCAACATATTTTCACTTTCAGAGAAAAGGGCTTTTTTATGGAGGGATTCCTGTTTTTTTGTTAATCTGGCTTGAAAATTGTACATCTTAACTCTTATTTGATTTAGTCTACTTCTTTTGTCATAAAGTTGAGCTGCTTTAAGATCATAAACTGGTCCTATTGTCAATGTTTGTACTTACGAGTTTGTATGTAGATACTCAAAGGTAAGCTGAGCTCTGCTCAGGTTGCTGTAGCTGGAGTAGGCCATGGCCCCTCAAAGTTATGGTCTACTTCCTTCCTGTTTGCCTTCTTCCTGACCAAACGAGCTCTAGTCGAGAGCTTTCATTCTGAAAAGGGAAGTTAAAATTAGCCACCGGTCAAACGCATTAAACTGCACACCTCCCTAATTCGTTTACTAATAGTCCGACGTAAGACAGAATTAACTGATAGGGAGGCTATGCAACACAGCAAAAGAAGCACTCACGTGAAAGACTCCCTGCAGGTGAAGGTAACTCGGGTGAACCACGTGGGAGGCCTGTTGAAGAACAACAAAATGTTGACTTTATCAAGGAGCGTCTTTAGGGCGCAGTGCTGCCTGAAAACACGTTTCCACATATGCCTGTCTAAAAGCAGCGCACAGACAAGCTGGACTTCTGGGAAGCAATGCAACTTTGTGTTTACTCATGTATGCATGTTATAAACTGCTTATCTTTCGAACATCCATTGTTACTAATGTTTACCGTCTGGCTAAAACTGCAGCTAACGGACATTAGCATCCCTTGACTGTTTATGGGGCAACGACGCTACTAGCTAGCCTTTCACAGTCGTTAGCTAAATCATGACATTTTGACCACTTTTTCCGGCCGTTGTAATACGACAGAACCGTCACACTGTAATAATGACACGCTAGAGGAATAGATAGTTTGTAACATTACGTCTTCGTCTCCTTGGCATAAACCAATCCCACAGGCCGCATAAAATCCAGTTTCTTCGACGGCGATAGTTGATTCCCCGTAGCGCCCTGACAATATACAATTCCCGCCTCCGACTTTCCGCAGACCAATAGGAAAACAACGTGGCAGGATTCTCAATAACCATTGGTGAATACGACCGTCTACGTAAGCAAGATTACATACCGGTGCACACGAGGCCTTGAAGCGCACCTGTTTGCGCCAAAATGTAAAACTATTATCAGACAGATAAATCTCAAAATGAACAACAATCAACTACATTTGTTGGGGAGGTTTTAACACATATATCTCGAATACTTTCTAACATGCACAAATATAAAAAACTAAATTTGTTGAGTGTTAATTTAAGACTATGGTCTTTAAACTATCACACCAGTACAACTGGTTTAACATGCATGTAAATTTATGGAGTCAAAAGGACCACAGTCAAAAATGCACAGTTCTAGAGTCGCAAGCTGTTTAACAAGGGATTTCCACATAGTTTGGAGAAGTGTGGGATTTTCCAGAGCTTGATAGCTATGAGAAAATAAAATGTTTGTATCGAAAGATATTAATATTGCCAGATTATTCTCTATTTCTTCATCATTTTTTTGTGTTTCATTTTGGTATACTTACTTTGTTCCTCATGCCCTTTCTTTCTTGTTTTTACCTTCCCTTTGCTCTTCTTTCCTCCTGTCCTTTCATCTTTATATTTTCATTCTGACCTTCATTCCTTTGTGTCCAACGTTTCCCCTCACTACCTTTCTGTCCATGTGTTGTTCCTCCTTGCCTTGTGTGTCATCGTTCTTTTTTTTTTTAAGATAAAACACAGAAAACTCTGGAGGGTATGGAAAAGCTTACACTTTTAACCTCATCAATTAAAAATAAATTGCATCAATACTTTGTCACACCATTTCTGTCTTTGTGTGCTTTTAATCCCTGATAGGGTGAGTTGATGAATGGCTGATGAGATAGCTATATCTACTGATCACATCAAAACAAAAGATAGATGTCAGAACCACATTTCCTCAAAGTGTATTATGACTAAAACTACTTTAAAATGGTTGTCAGAATGTGTACAAAACATTCCCACGAGTATAAATTGATCAATGGCATGTATGTTGCCTCTTGTAGAAGATGGCTTCATTTTGTATCTGCAATAATGGAAATAACAAAGGGGCATAATCACCATACTTGTTAAATCTAGATAGTGAGTTGGAGAACAAATTCAGACTCCTTCAGCAGGAAACAATGAACCACGGACTAGTTTTGGTTTGACAGAATTATTAGTTGATTATTGTAATTGTTTACAAGTGTGTTTCTCAGCATTTTATGCAAACATAATGGGAATGTTCAAAAATGGAGATTACACAAATGTGTGTTTGAGTATATTTAATGATACAACCTGCCAAACAGACATTAACTGAACTCATTCTCACCAAATTTACCTGGAATTTCAATCATAAAACAATACTAGTTCTTCTCATTCACATTAACATTAAATTTTATTTGCAAAGCAGTTGGCCTTAATATACAAAGTTCATTAAATTAAAACACCAAAAGAAATGTACACTTTATACAATTACGTAGTCAGGGAACTCATTCACAGCAGAGAGCACATACCTCTTGCACCTGACTTATACTAAAATGTTACATATATTTACATAATTTGGATCCCTGTGTGTGCCAAGCTTAAAAAAATGCTAAAGCATTTCTGTAAATACTTTATTTAGGATAACAAAATGTAGGATAACAAGGTCAGCAGCAATGAAAAGTATTTGGTGCAAACAACACCATGTAAACCAGTGTGTCGTAAAATATGTGGGAATATTTTGCTTCGTTTCATCCGCCAAAGAATTTCCTTGCTGTGTAGGACAGTCACACTTCAACTTTCAATCAAAGGCTCCTGTAAAAAATGGCAAAGAAGATAAGATCAATTAAACAATTTCTAGTCACTTCTATAGTTTTATATATATAGAACAGCCAAGGGATATAGAGAAAAAGCGATGAAAGCTTAAGATCATCAAAAAAAAGCAAATTACACTTTGAGAGTTTTGTCTTGTAAGATAATCTCGATGGGGGACGGAGGTTTTCAAGCTTGCAGCTACACAGAGAATGAAACAAACACCAAGCAGCGTCACGCTGACTACCACCAGATGTTTCACCGCCACACTTTGCTCTTCCTAGAAATAAAACAGAGAAAAGGGAGAAAATAAGATAGAATATGATCAAGGCAGAAATGAGGATATTCTTCAAGAGTAGCCCTCCATACCAGAGTTAACATGACTGTCAAGGTCGGGTCTTTCTTAAAGTGCATACTGTAGCAGGTTTGAGATGATGCAGGTAGCTGATTGGTCACTTCCACAGGAACCCTTGAAATATTTGACTCTGATGCAGAGCACTTTGGAGGGCGCCTTTTTAAAAATAACATGAGTGTATATTCACAAAAATTGAATCAAAGCTGATCACTAAAAACCATCTTATTGACACAACCAGATGTGTAAGCATATTTGAAATAATTTCATAATTTACTACAACAGAACTTCATGGTTGGATTTTTAAAAAAAAGAAGCTATCTTTCTCTAGTTATTTGTTTTTAATCTTGTGAACCAAGAGTGTTATTGAATATTGAGAGGACTATAAAAAAATATAGATAGCAAATAAACTTATCAGTGAACTTACAGAGTCATAGGTAGGATGTGTTTTGGAGCCGTTATAGTGAGGCATATGTGCTCACTGTCTTCAGGTAAGATCTCCAATATCAACCTAACAAGTTCTTTGTCTAGAAAATTAAATAACAAATTGTTAATGAAATAAGAAGAGCTTATTGTCACTTCAAACTCATCAGATTAAAAAATCACAACCTCCAAGCTTAAGCTGTTTGGCTGTTAATGTTGTGAACAGAACAATGTCTTTCCGTGTGACACTTGGTGAGGAAGGAGTCACAGACAGAGGAACATGAAGATGCAAATCCATGACAGAAGAAGAACTTCTTGTTGCATTTATTGATGTTTTCTCATCCTTTTCCTGCATCGTTTGCAAAGGAGCAATTGGGGAGGTGTGGGCTGGAGAACTTGCATTTTCCTTCTCACACAAGGGAAACTTTGAGAAGGACAGAAGTAGAGTATTCCAGTCCTGTGACAAGAATAATGAACATTCATTTAAGAGCAAAACACTGCCTAATCCTGGAATAGCTGTCAGAATAATTATAAAAGGGCATTTATAAATCATATTCCTATTAAATTAATTGATTCCAGTATAATAAAAATGGAAAATAATACAGACGGCTTCCCGTGTGAAAATCTAAACAAACAAATCTAACATTTTTAAACAGAACTAACAAAACAGCCCTACTTTTGATCTTGTACTGTCATATTTGTGGGAAAGATACATTTTGGCATCATGGATGAAGATGAATGCGAGCTTACCTGTTCTATGTCAGGGTTAGGTAGAGAGTGAGAGTAGCTGTAAGAGCTGATAACGATGAATGAGATTGCAAGAATTAAGAGGCACAGGAAGAAAGTCACCCCTGGAGGATTGTGGGATACATATTCTCTAAGGTTAGACCCCTGACTCATTCTCAGACTTCTGTGTTCACCTGGGATGAGGGAAGCTGCAAACAGAAAAGTATGAAGTCATTGAAGCATTTTTGACTAAAGCTCTGTCACTGAATCCTTTGTAGACCTCTCAGCCTTCAGGTAATTTTTTTGTGGCCAGTTTTCTCAAGACAGTGATAGTTTTAATTGGGGTTATCCCTGCTTGTTCACAGTATTTAAGTCGCATAATCCATTGTCAGCTCAATATTGTAAACTGCCATCTCGAAAACAACCACAGAAGCAGCATTATTTCAAAGAGTTTCAAAGAGTAAACAACTCTCAAGACAATAGCTTCGGCAAAGTTATACTTTAAAAGATGAAGTGGCGGCGCAGTGGCAAAGGCCCTAATCCTCGTGGCGGTGGTTGCAGGTTCGATTCCCGGCCTGGCGACATTTGCCGCATGTCTTCCCCCTCTCTGATTACCGTGTTTCCTGTCGAACTACTTTCAAATAAAAGCCACTAGAGCCAACAAGACCTTTTAAAGATATATATTAAGACATAAAGAGATCATGTCAAGCTGTAGAAAACATGACATTTATGGCTTGTATCTCTGTAGAAGAACTTAATGATTTTTACAACTATATTTAGTATGACTACATTGCTCAGAGAGAGCGATACTTAACGTCAGCTCTTATCCTTTTTCTGAAGCGAAAAAGCCTTCAGCAAAACAGCGTTTTTAACACTCCGTCTCTAATCTGGAGACGTGTACTTCCACTCAACAACTCCACTAAGTGCAACCACTGCTGCTAGCTAAGTAGCTTCGCATGACACTTCCATACCTTAAAACAGCGCCTTCATATGATTCCAAATGTCCTGATATCCTCTGTGAAAAGCATCGATAAAAGTAGATTAAAAGTCCCAGTTAAGTTTTCACATTAGCACAGCGAAAATGGCATCGCAAACATAATCACGACAGTTTTCTAGTTTGCGGCCATACATCACCATGACGACTTTGATTACGGAAGTCACATGACGTACCAACCAATCTGAGTTAGTTGTTTTCGCCAATAAAATTGTTGGAAAATAGTAGCTGACAGAACTGAGCCAACAATAAACATTAACTGAAAGATTTACTGTACGACTCAAATAGTAAAAAGAAAAAAAAAAGCTAAATATAGTTGAGCTAACAGCTAGTAATATTCCTAAATTTCTCCCAGTTTTGCACAGTCGCTGATAATTTAGGGAGCCATGTCATATTGTGATGTTTGTCCACAGTGTTTTATGAAGTCCTAAGTCAGCACAGCCATCTAGCAGAATATTTCAGAGCATTTCATCCTTCAAACCTGCACCTGTTTTATAGCTAAAAGGAACCAAAACCTATGTTAACATCTATTCCTTACTGTTCAGCAATTTGGACTGATCTAAATCCCATAGGGAATCTCTGGAGTCAAAACGAAAATGAGACACCAGATAACAGTGATGAGGCAATTTTATGCAAACAGATCCCCGATTAAGTACATTTAGTCCATGGTCATGCTTTTCAGTAGGAAAATATTTCTGCATTATTTCTCTCATTTAAACTTGTCTCATATAGAACTCCAGTTTTATACAAACATAAGTCTTGTTTTTCATCAGCTGTAAGGCCTCCTGCCCTCATCTACAACTATATATTCTGGTCTGTATGCTTGGGGCATGCCCTGTGTAGGTGATGCAGGCACAAAATCCTTGGGGAAATTTGGAATGACCAATTAACATGGAATGGATAATTCTGCACAATAGGAAGAAGTTATAGAAGCCACACAACAAGCACAACATGCAAATTTAATGCAAAAACCTCAGAAAGGGATTCAAACCCAAGACTTTCTTCTAACAAGAAAATAGTGCAAAAAGAAGAGAAATGTATTTCTGCAAAATCTCTCTTTGTTTAAAGACTCTTGAGTTTCACCTTTTGAATTCAATTACTATAATACTTTTTTAAAGATTTTAATTTACTGAGATGGCCCTATACTGACCAAATGTTGTATATAAAACCACACATTTAAAAAGGGCAACAAAAATGATGGTATTCTTTAATTTAAAAATATGTAAAAAAAAAATCATTAAAATTTGTTAAAATTTTATCAGAAACACAGATCTATAAAAACAGGTCTTAAAGTAAGAGGGGGAAAAAAATCAAATATCAACACTGCAACACAATCACAGAGAATGTTTTTTTCCAGCTCATTATTTCCCTTTTGTCATAACCTTAAAATTTTCACTCAGTACTGATTTAACCAGTCAAGGTGTCCAGGTGACTTTTATAGGCTTGAAAGCCCACACATCAGGGTGTCCCATGTGGAGCAAGTCTTCATAAGGAGAAGTGCTCCACTGGAAAGGTGGCACCTGATCCCAGGTCGGCCCGCTGGCTGCCAGCATGCCATACTGTCTGAACATTTCGTAGGAGGTCAGCTACAAGGGAACACATAAAAATTTATGAAAGATAATATCACAGTTATTAAATGTCAATTAAAATCTAAACACATGGAGAAAGAAGAAGTGGGATTTCAGCAAAAAGAAACAAACCTTCATGTCGGTTCCTCCATGAGGTCTCTGCTTTAAGGCACCAAATGGGTATGTCCCATTAGCTGGGTTGAGGTCCGAACGAGCTGAGATGGCGTTCTCCCCATTCTGAGGCGGATCACATCCATCACACTTTGACAATGGATCTGCTTTAAAGTTATTGTACCTAAAAGAAATGCATACAAGCTATTAAACCCAATCCACCAGAAAACAAAAGAATGAAACTACTGTTTTTCAAACTTCACCTCATAAGGCGCACCATGGATTCCAAATCTATGACATGAGTCTGGTTTCTCTTGAATATCTGAGCCCGAGGATTCTGATCCAGAGAGAACCAGGGGCCGTACTTCTCCACCAGTTTATTGCAGCCACTGGCATTAAAGATCTCTACGTAGTACCTTCGGATGAGCAGGTGCAGCATAAATCAGAACAAAACAACACAAGCAATCATATATAGATCATGTTTCATAACTCATTTCTTACGGGATGTTGTAACTAGCCCAGTAACCGTTCTTCAGGAGCTCCTGAGTCTTATCTCTGTATACAACAAGTCCCCTGCAGAAATACGAGATAAACACTGCTCATTTTAAATAGATCAGTTGGAAATAGTTAAAAAAAAAAATCAGATCCAGGTGAGTAAAAAAAAACTCACGGAATTTGTTCCAACACAACAAAGAGGCCATCTTTAATGTCAGTCTGTCCTGGAGTGAAGAGGTTATAATCCACAATCATCCACTGGTTATTGTATCTGTGAACACAGACGACAGACTGCAATGTACACAGACATCCGATCAAACAGACTGCAAAGAGTTTCATGTAGAACAGGCCTGTGTGACACACATGTGATCAGTCTGAGAAAACAACTGACCTCAAATACTCATGTGACTTTACATCACAATCAGCTGTTTTAAGACATTTTTTTACATTATTCCACATGACTGGGTCCTGGTTTATTTCATATGCTTTAGAGAGACTATTCTGTTTTATTACTCAAATACAATTTAAATTTTGCTGCAATGATGTGGAGGCACAGGCTACAACAGACATCCGGGCTTTAATAAGTGGCAAAAGTGCCACGATGTCATAAATGAACAAGTTACAATTAAAATGAATATAAAAATAATTAGTAAATTAATTAAAAATTAAATGTCAAAATTTATGAAATGCATGATAAAAATTCTTAATTAAAATATTACATTCTTTTAGAAGCCATATGTTGATATAAAACTACTGTAAATTTTGTATTCTATGAATTTTTTAATATAATTTATTGTGTAATTATCGCTGTGTCTCTTTTTGCTCTAGGACCTGCATACTTTATGACATCACAGAGTCGTGTCAAATCATTTCTCTCTAAAGTGCTACACTCCATCAGTTACAGTACAACAGAAACTGATTGCAACCCACATTTTTATAACATAAGCAACAGAAACCAAGTCTTACTATTTAGAATACATTGTTAGTGGATTCTTCATTTCCATTTGTAAAACTCACGTTCCACTGTTGTACTTGCTGAATATCTCCACCCAGTCCTGGCCTGTAGTTGCCAACCGATTAGCAACAATGTTCCGCAGCCATTCCATTACCGTTCCCGTCGGCCGGACAAACTTCCAGAGAGCAGGGTTGCTGTTGCCGATGGTGGTTTCTAGTGTAACCTGCAGGCACAAGATGGTTTTAAAAGACAGAATAGGGAGAAGAAAAACATTCACACTGGAAAGTTTCAATCAGAATAGTTTTATCATCACTGAGGCAAATTCTCACCAAACCGCTGCTTAAGATGTAAAAGTCATCTCCAGAAAAGATGGAGCCAGGATATGATGAGAAAGCCTGAGTTCCTCCAGGAAGAGAATCGTTGTCTTCAAAGTACAAAACAAGACATAAAAAGAAGTTTTATATTCTTTCAATTAACACATGCTTTCTAATCTGTTCTTCCTAGATGTAAGCATTTAATTTAGAAGAGACTCAACTTGTGCTGAAAATATATCAAAGGAAATCCATCAGATTGGAAGGTAGGCATGTATAAAATAAATTATTCAACGTATGTCTTTACAGCTCATTATTTATGAGGTAAACATGTGCCTTTATGCATAACTATTTGTATATGTCAAAAACGTGTAGAAAATTTAAAGTTGTTGATACAAATTTGCAGTTGCTTCACATCACGAAACAATTTAAATGTTCATTCTGGCTCTTCAAATAGATCCCAAAATGCACAGTCAGTATAATTATCTTGCCCTGAACACTCTTAGATCTTGAAAGGTTAAAAAAGGTTTTTATATATTCACTTTTAAACTTGATTTACTACATGTTAACATTACTGATATTTCTAACTCCAAACAGGGAATCTTGCCATGACCAACAAACGGAATCAGTAGACTGAATATCTATTAATTACAACTTAATATGTTGATTTACTTCACACTAAACAAAAATTTTATTTTATATGCTGTGGTATTATCACTTCCTTTTTCTAACCATTGATTTTGCAGGAAGCGAAACACAGAAATATTCATTCTTCAGTTTCATTCTGAGGTTCAGACAGCAATAACCACAATGAATAAAAATGCATCGTCAGAGGTACCTAATGGAGAAGTTTTGAAGGCGAAGATGTACTTCTTCATAATGCGCAGCATGGCCTGGTAAGTGTTCCAGGTGTCATGTGACACCAGCAAATCTTTATTGTTTGGCAGCAGTTTAATGAGCGCAGAGCAGGAGCCAGAACCAAGAAGGCGAGTTTTGCTGGATTTATTCAATGCTGACTCCAAGTCTTCAAGATCTCCACCCATCTGGAAAAGTCTGGTTGTGAAGAGTAGCAGTGGAAAATGTGAGATAACAGCATAAAAAGTTGATTAACTTGGCTCAGATTTACACAGCAAAAGCCCAGAGCTTACAAAAAACCAAGTGGATTGAGGTTGAAGCGCCCAGTAGGAAAGTACAGCTGGTCATTGTAGCCGTCTTCAAGACCTTTAAGCTGCAGCAGTGCCAGATGCACCTGAAAAGCAGAGATGAATGCTAAAGCAACTCTAAATAAGAGCATCAGGAATAGTACAAATATGGACTATTACCTGGTGCCAGTAGGGTGAAGCCGACTGCTTCTCCACTTGATCCTGAACCCACTGAAGGTTGGCTGAAATAAAAGTCTTAAGGCGCTCACAGTAATCAAATTCAGACGTGAAGGGCCCACAGTACCCCATCAGAGTGTTCATCCAGTGTTTATAAATGAGCTGAAACAATAATATGTTAATAATAGTTAGGGAAAAGACAAAGTATCTGACCTTTTGTCTGAAAGAGGGCCAAGCTTACCACAGAAGTGACTGAAGCCTCAACGGCACCAGCAGCATAAGCTTGGATGCTGTCATTGTACCGACTGCTGGTTGTGACCTCCAAAAAGGACCAGCTGACATGAGAGCATTTGAGAATAAATAGAAATACAAATTAAACAGTTAAACTTAAAGATCTTCTTACTTTGTCAAAAATTAAAACATATTCAGTACATTCCCATTTGCCGGTGTGCAACAATCCTTTAGTCCCCATGTCTGGGTGATATTTTAAACAACTTCAAACTAATTCTTGTGAACAAAGACTTTAAGAAAACTGGATTTCCCAATTTTTACACATATGAACTGACATTTGACTCAACAAAAAAGCTTCTAATTTTAAGGCGTCATGTACTGTTTTATAACACAATAAAACAGAAAAAAAATATTTACACACTTTATGTTTGATGTAAAAACCCAGCTTTTAATATTAATAAAAAAACTTGTCAGGCATAATTGTTTCAGGTTAAAACAGATTGAAGAATTGAAATCCATATGTAGTTTTTAATTAAACCACTGTATTTTGAGCTTTAAGTTACAGTCCAAACTTTGAACAGATCCGATAAAGAAAATGCTTATTTTCAGTGTTCAGGAGACTTTAGTCCACTTGCATCCAGATGACGTCATCAGTGGACTTTACGTTTTGACCATTTTCTAAACTTCCGCAAGCAGGCAACATTTATTACAAAAATATATTTAAAAAATTCAGTTTTCTCTACATTAATCTTTACAGCAAAAAATATCCTCTTGATATACCCCTTTGTTTTTATGAACGTTTTCTTCCAAACTACAAGAAAGAAACCAACAGATTATGTTTCTGGATATTGTAGTTTTTCGGTGTGACTTACTGGGCTCATGTTTACTCGCTCACAGGAGGTGAGCCTGAATTGACCTGCATATTTGGACTCACCCCGTTGTGTTGATGTCATCTGTGAAGTTTGCCCAGGCAACATAATCTTCCTGATAACCTTTGACGACAGACAGCTGCCCGCTTTGTTTGTCTATGATCGCTGTTCGGATTTCAGCTCCAGCGGACGCACAAAAGCAACACAGTCCGATTAAAGTCACACAGAAGATAAAGGTCTTTGAGGGAATTTCAGAGGCAAACATCTTGTTTTGCCTGGACGCCATGTCTCAGTGAACGAGTCACATGACACCGGGGTATATGGAGCACGTGACTTTGCTGAAGCAAAGTCAGTTTCAAAGTAAAAGACTGTCTTTTGACCGTGAGAATTTCGGCTCTTTTTCGGGATCCGGATCTTTCGACTGTACTATGAAAGCAACTCTGATCTTTCGGCTACAAAACAGCTTTCCTATTCACATTACTGTAGATATGGATTTCGGAAAACAATAGAGAAACAAGCAATAAAAAGAGATAAAGATTCTATCAGTCCACTTATTGAACTGGCTCAAATGCAACTGATACGATACATCAATGACCTTGGTTGGCTAGTAATAAATGACAAAAGACAATCAACATGTAGACATTTATGTAAAACTATTTCATACAAATACATCATACCGTCACAGTAATAATCTTTGTAAAATCTTTGCCATGTTTGTTTATCTCTCGTCAGGTCTCCTTATTTGTCACAGTCCAAATCTTCCCTGTTCATCATCAGGTCCATCTCAGTCTTCAACTCCCCCATCGGTTTCCATCGACTCCAGAATTCCTTCCAGGACTTCTGCTTTTCGTCTCTTCTTTGGCAGATCACCATGGAAATGTTCGGCTGTTTTCTGTCTCAATGTCTCCACTGTATCCTCAGCGTCAGCCCATTCCAGCACAAGACGCCTCCCGTACAGATGGGTGCTGTGGCAGAGTGCAGCGAAGGCTTTCTGCAAAGACCATTTATGATCATGTTTACTACATTTAAGCACATTAATGTTTTTAATTCTTGAATTATGTTTGTGAGAATGCGCATCATAGGAGAAAAACCTTAGCATCCTGTTTGGTGAGAAAATCAACAAAGGCAAAGCCCCGATGGTTCCCTGAACCAGCTGCTTTCTTTGGAAGACGGACCGTCTTCAGCTCCCCAAATGTACTGAAAATACATTTTATGAGGGAAATAATTTGTCAACACCAAGAGAGACAAGCAGAGTAAATAAAAAGGCAGAAGGAGTCTTTTGCTTGGTACCAGAAAAGCTCCCGAATTTCCCTGACAGTGGCTTGGAAGGGAACATTGCGGACAAGAATCTTGGAGCCCGTTTGCTTCTTCTCAGCTTGCTTCTTTTTGTGAGACACCTCAGCAGTTCTGCCCACAGAGGTAACACAACTGAGTAAATAGTGACTTTCCACAGTTTATAATGTATTTTCCATTGAAAGGAGCAACTTACCTTGTGGCTCTTTCAGAAATCTTCACCTCTAGCTGATGATCATCCACCACACAGTGCTGAAAGAGAGGAGAGCGCGCACACAGGTCAGCCCAAATTCAGGCTGTGCAGTTGGTAAGTGGAATTGGTTCACTGAGAATATGGAACAGTACCTGCAGTTGCCTAAGAGCCTTCTGTGCTGCCTCTGCTGTCTGATATTGAATGAAACCGTAACCCATGGACAACAGGTTACCTGCAAGTTCAAACTACAGGTTAGCTACTGATGACACTGAGGATCAGGACAATAAAACTCAAAGAAGAAAAATTGTAGTAGGAAAAGATAAATTGCCAAACATGTTTTGAATAGTGCAAATATTTCACATAACATAAAAATAACTATTTTTTTTTTTTAAAAATCACCTCCAATACCAATTTTTCTATGTTCATTAAAATATTATAGCATTATCATTTTCAGCCTGGTTTTTTTTTGGAAGGTTTCCCCTCTTTTGTCTGAAAAAAGATGCAAAAACTGAGCATACTAAAACCAGAAAACTGCTGAAGGAATTCAGATGGTGCCCACCAATGGCCAGGCTCGTAACGACGCTTTCATTGCTAAGTTAAGCCTAAAATGTATCTGCTTTGGTCTTTGAAGCTCATAAGTTTTTAATATTTACACCTGTTAGCATTTTTCTAATGATCACATCAGCAAGCATGCCAACATTAGAATCTTTGCTATCAATGGCAAACATTACATATTATACAAAATTTTAGGAATGCACAGGAAATACATATATAACATTGATGTTGCACTCTGCCTATCAGCAGCCTGATCAATTAGTATGGACTTTGGGTGCAGGATCACTATTAGGGCTGAATGATACAAACAATGTCTATGTCTACACCAAATATTTCAAATAAAATAAAAATGAAATTAACAAAAAATGAAGCTTCTGTCAAAGTAGGATTCAAGTCTACATGTGAAATACCTGATTTATCTTTTTTCTTGGAAATGCTGCAAGACTTGACTTTTCCACACTTGGAGAAGATCTGCAATAAATAAAGAAAATTGAATAAAACATATAAAATACTGTTTATTTACTATTTGTTTTTACAGTTATGAGAGTTGACTTACCTCCTGTAGCTTTTCTTCTGTTGTGCTGAAATTCAGATTCTTAATGAAAAGTGTGGAACCCGGCACAGTTTCTTCTTCTTCATCGTCTTTCTCTTCTTGCTCATCTTCCCCTTTCTTTTTATCTTCCTTCTCTGTCTTTTCTTTATCTGATAGAGTTTTTTGGTAATGTTTGTTTAGGTAGATATAATGTACATCATAAAAAAAAAAAATTTTTTTAGAAACAATAAAATCTAAAGGCTGTCTGGTGTGTAGAAATTTCTACCTGTTTCCGTTTTGGCAGCTGTGAACACCCCAACAGGAGCCCACTCCAAATACAGCGGGACATGGTGGAACTAGGGTTTAAAAACAACAAAAACAAACACATTTTACATGACTGATCAAAAATAAAGTGACATGTAAAATTCATTCAGCTGTGTAAAGCACTTTGGATTGCTTTGTTGCTGAAATGTGCAATTCAAATAAACTCGCCTTGCCTTACTCTGATGCTCCTAAATAAAATATATTGCAAGAAACTTAACCCAGAAGTAACCTAAATAGTATTTGGAGTTCATCATCTTCATTCCACTTCACAATTATGCACCACTTTTTGGAGCCCATCAGCTAAAATCAATAAGTGATAGATGTGTGATGTAATGTTGCAAAGTGTCAAAATGTGAAAACATTAAAGGTGCAAGAGTATTTTGAAAGGTCTTACACACCTTGCTGTAAGCTAGCCTGGTGAACGCTCGCTTGGCTTCAGTTGGCTCCAGGAACTCAATGATGGCGGTGAGTCCTGAAGGCGGCAGCAGAACTCGACCCAAAGAGCCATGAGGTGAGAAAAGTTTTTCCAGCTCTGTTGTCGTCACTCCATCAGGAAGGTTTTTTACTAGGATCACAGTTGTACTCCTTGCTGCTGCTGCCTGCATAAACATTATTAGACATTAGCAGACATGTATGGATGAAGTATATATATTCTCAGATTTTGTTCTCATAATTACTTGACTGAAGGAGTCTAGGCAGACACTGTTGTCCAGCAGGAACTTTCGGGTCTCCTGGACAATCTCAGTTTCTCCAAGAGCCATCCGCACTGCAACACTTCCCTTTGACTCCTTTGGAAGATAATACAAAAAATATTTACCTCATTAATTAGTTTTGTTCAAGCTAAACAACTAATATAATGATTTAGCATAAAATCCCCAGACGTAGGTTCACTCACATGGTCTAAAACATGGCTTTTTGTGGTGTTATATTTTTCAGCAATGGCATCGGCCACAGCACTTGTACCCAGAAACAAGGAGTTCCAGTTGTGTGAACTGGAAAGACAAAGAAAATTAGTGTGCAATTTAAAACAGCAACCAAAAAAATTGAAAACATCATATTACATTGTTGCTTACCTGGAACTCGAAGCTTTATTTTTAGCCTCTTTTTGTCGTTTATATGATGAAGAACCAGGACCACCAGATTCTGAAGACTCAGACTTTTCCTTCTTCAAAGTGGAGGGAAGAACATGAAGCATTCTACCCTAAAACCACAGAAAACACATCTGCTCACTAAAATTTAGAACCAGAAAACCTAGAGATCATTCATAAATAACGGATTAAATTTTTAAAATTTTTTGATGCCAAAAAGCAATTTTAAGATACTATTCTCCAAAACAAAAAATAGTGGGTGTCACACCTCCCTAAAACAGGCACTTCTACCATATGTGGATGACCATGATCAAACATAAATGCCTACCTGTATCTGTGAACAAACAAAAAATGTAGTATAAAGCTTCTTCTGTCAAGGAGTTGGGTGAGCTTCATGAAAGTAAATAGGTAAAGAAGGTAGATTTCTCCCCACATACAAAAAACAAAGTCTCTCAACAACTCACAGATAAGGCGCAAAAACAGCAGTTTATCCTAAGACAGATAGATCCAGTGGAGTAAAACAATCAAGAATACTGTTTGTGAGACTAAAATGCTTCAGGTGTCAAAATGTGATATTTCAGTGTCGTTTTTCATTTTTACATGTCTGCCGAGATTAAGATCGCAGCACTTTCCTATTATATGTTCATCCTCAAAGTAACTGCAAAAGAAATTATTTTTTTCTCCCCAAGCTGGAGCCAAATGAATCAGTAGTAGTTCAGTTAAATCCTCACAATTACAACACTGACTGATTACATGTTGAAAAGTGGGACTTTCAGCTGCTTCCATTCACTGCCATTGTGTTTACATGGCCACTGCATGATAAGAAAAGCCCTGTCTACCACAGTAACAAATGCTGGTCAAAAACAAAACAGATATTACAAAGTCTGAGTTGTCATGTAATTCAACATGCTCTCTGTATAATTTCTTATGTACATCGTCTTATGAGCTCACTTTAAAGACTTTATCATCATTGTCCTCTTTTGGGCACTGATGCCTCAGTTCAGTCTTGTCCATAACATTCACTCTCCTGCAACTTCAGTTGTGTTCTCTGATGATCACATTTTTGCTTCATGTATAAAAAACAGCAACAGTTGTTTTCAGTCTTTGACATGGAAAATAAATATAATTATCATCTGTTTGTAAACAACTGAACAAGAAAAAGCATAAAAATTCCCCTCCAAAAAATACAGCTGATATAGAAGTTCCAATCATTTTTTAAAAAGTAATAAAATACCTGAAATATGTGTCCATCTAACTTCGCAAGAGCTACCACAGCATTTTCTGGTATCATGTAGGTAACAAAAGCAAATCCTTTAGGTTTCTTGG